CGTAATTTCTTTTGTTGTATTAGCCGTTTGGTCAAGTTCCAGCTATTGAAGATGGAGATCTGAAGCTTTATGGTATACAAAAACCTAATTTCTAATTAAATTGACTACATACTAGATACATTTCCTAACTATACAGATTATAATTCTGTTTACTGTTTTTTGAAATATTTTATTGCTCTGTTTTTGGCTTCAAGAATCGCGAGCCATATTGAGATACTACGCGACCAAATATGCGGATCAAGGAACGGACCTATTGGGCAAGACCTTGGAACAACGAGCCATTGTGGACCAGTGGATGGAAACTGAGGCTAACTATTTCAACGCTGTTGGTCTACCCATAGTTTTTAACCTTGTGGTTAAGCCCAAGTTAGGTGAGCCATGCGACGTCGATTTGGTCGAGGAGCAAAAGGTCAAGATGGAGAAAATCTTGGATGTTTACGAGAACCGGTTAGCTACGAACCGGTACTTGGCCGGTGATGAATTCACATTGGCTGATTTGACTCATATGCCCACGATGAATATGACCGGTTTGAGCAGTATGGTTACGTCTCGACCTAATCTCAACCGTTGGTGGAGTGAGATTTCGGCTAGACCGGCTTGGAAGAAACTCACTGAAATGGCTGCTAATTAAATTGTTTCGAGTTTATCGTTTATGTCTTGATTATATGATGTTTTAACATTCCTGTTTTTTTTTTTTTCCTTGTTCCAAATAAAGTTAAATCGCATATTCTATTTACTTCATTGAATAATGTTTTTAAAACGGAGCCTAAAGATTTGGTACTTGTTGACCAAAAAGAATAATATGTTGGCTCCTTTTTTATAATCATGGTTGTCCAGCTCAGCTAGCATCATCAACCAATTTGTTTAGTTCAGCCATATGCTCCATGTATGAGCTACAAATTCATTTCCTGAGATATTTCGTGACTGACACAGAGCATGCCACATACTGTGGTACCTTCAATCTCTTGATATTTATATTCAAGCAAAATACACTTTCAACAACTAGAGTACTTCTTGAGGATCACTAGAACATGGCTACATATGAAAAGTATTTATTGAGACTTTCTCCGTTTTTTAATGCCGATATCTGATTGGTTCAACTACTTTGATTAATTGTATAAATCTAAGATATGTTCATCATTTTTGTGTCTGAAACTTTTCAACTGTTGTTGACTTGTTGTAGTTTTTTTTTTTTTTTGCTAAAAAACTTGTTGTAGTTATGTGGAGAAAGACTATTCAATTCTGAAAACTTTTTACATTGAGAGCTTTAACATTCTCTTTAATGATTAGTGATAATTTGACATAGTTGTATTGAGTATTAATTACTCATTCCGTTCCATATTAGATGATGGTTCCATATTATAAGTATTAAGTGATGTTTCAGATTTTTATGCAAAATAATTGTGTTTTTTTTTTTGTTTTTTAAAAGTTTAAATTCTGAAGATTGTTTTTCTATTGGTATAATTGTTTTAATGATAAAACTTATTTTATATTAAAAAAATTGTAAATTTTTAATCTGTGTAGAAACTTTGAACATCAAACAAAGGGAATAACAAACTACTGTAGAGAGCAATCCAACTTACACATTTATGCAAATATAAACGCAAACATAATCTTAAAAGTTCGTATCACAAACTTATAGCTATCTACACTAACTATAAGTCTTTTTTCTTTTTGATAAATACACTAACTATAAGTTGATGTTGATTGTTAACTAAAATTTGCATCAATCTGGAAAATTCTAGATGCATATTTCTGGAGTATTTTTGTAAACATTATTCTCAATCACAGTTACAAGAAAAGACACGTTTTTCACAACTAATACTCACCGGTCCAGCGGACTTTTGG